AGATGAGGGCGGACAGACGGTCTCAGTTGGTTTGGTGTCCCTGCTTACTTTTAACACTTGTAAATAAAGACTTTTCAGTAATAGAAGGTTGTTGCTTTTATTGATGTAGTTTGTAGGGAACATTTTTATACCTTTCTCTGCTGCCTTTTTTTCTCCTCCTCCATCAACAGGGCTCTTTTGCTCGGATAAGTTTGCAGTTACATTCTCTGGTCTGTTTCTGCTACCTGGGTAACTTTCTTTACCTGATTTTGTGAGTTGCCTCTCGGTGAAGGCTCTCTGTGTGAGCAGTGGACAAACACGAACCTTGCCAGCAATGGCTTAATTGTAGTTAAATTAGTTATATGGAACCAATCTAATAACTGTTGGTGTCATTATTTTACAGACATCAACTAATACTCCATAAATAATCGGTTAATGCAAACAAATTTTGTATGGCCTCCTACTCCAACAGCAACAGTAACCTGTTAGATTTAGTTTCTTTTGAGTTATGTTGTGTTTGAGGAAAGCTAACTTATGGCGCTTTTCCACTGCCGCAGGTAGCACGGAGGTAGTTCCGGATCAGGGCTACTTTTTCACCTTTTTGCTGGCCCTCCAAATCTGAGGTTCCTTTCACCGGCCAACACCGTGGGCTGAAATGATGCTATCACTAGAGAGGTAAACACTCTCGATGCTGAATGGTCAGAGAGAATCGCTGGCAAGGGGGGGCTACGAAACTCAACAAACATGAACATATTTTACCGTGATTTAATTGTACATACACGTGTTTCAAAATGATGCCGAGCAGTCAGACAACATACTGATACCTGGTGTGCAACGACACGACGGCAGCCGCGAAAAAATCTTTTAAATGCGTGTTTTCTGAATGGAGATCGGATCGATCAGCTAAGCAACGTTGTATATGCTCCGTCCACACTCACAACACGCCTACAGACATAAATAACCAGCGACTGTGTCTGTGGTTTGTACTTGTTTTACACTTTTGTTCTAGTTTCTAAACAGATATGAGAGCTGTGAGCTCTGAGTGCTAACAGCTAACGGCGGATGTTTTGGTTTTGTGGTTCGCATTGAATGATGATGTCACGGGTAGTTTTACGCGCTGCTTGCTCCGCTCCGCCAAACAGGCAGATCGCCCCGCCTACACTCCGTTACTATAGTTACTGGCCCCAATTTGGTAAACTGTGTAATGGAAACGCGCATAAAGTGGGCCTGGCGCTACCAAGGCCTAACCATTACGCGTAGAGCCATGCTGGTGTTCTGCAGGGAATAAGGCTCGCCATGCCCATGAATTATATCCTCCATATTTGTTAAAAAAAGCCTTTCCTCATGGGATCAGGGAGTGAAGGAGTGTCTCTGGGTAGGCGTTGATGTGTTGAGTGTGTCAGTTCTGGGTATGGTGCCCAGGCGGCACCAGATGTGTATCTGGTTCTCAGGTTATGCGTCAGACGCCTTAGTGGTATATTGATTGTTCTTGTGTCTGTATATTCTATCGTGGTCGTTGTTGTTGTTGATATTGTTTGGCGTGATGTCTCTCCAAACTCGTCTGTTGAACAGGTGTCTGCGTGTCTTTAAAGTCTTGAAGCATGAAATCTATTACTCGAATGAGGTCCTTGATTGTGTTTTGATGTTGATTTATTATAAATACATATATTAATACTGTGTTAGCTTAAGAATGGTATTAGCTTTTATGTTATATTTGATAAAATCGAAAATATGTAGTTGTTACATTCTCTTTAAACATAAGTTGTTTCTAATGCCTTGAAAGGTCTGTGTCCCAGGGAGTTTTCAAACTTTTAATCTCAATCAGACCCGATCGGATTTTGAAATCTCATTTTGTGATCCAGGATCAGACAAGTCGGGTCAGATTTTGTCGCCTGTAGTTCAAAGCAATTCAGGGATAGGTCGGCCTGATCCCAGGTTACGTTTTTAAGGGGAAAGTGACTGGATCCTGAATATCGTGCATTTAATCCTTTCTGATCGGCCATCTGTAGGGGTGGACAAGAAAAATATATCAAGGATGGGGACAAGAGACCAGCATTGCAGATGACATCTATAATGTTTAATTATTTTTTTTAATGAAAGGTGATATAAATGATTCATTTGATCAGAAGGGATTAAAATGTTGAAACTCCAGGGCCCAGGAGTTCAAAACCTTTAATCCCTATCTGATCAGATCAGATTTGGATTTTGGGAAGTTCAAAACCAAAAAACAGGATAAAATATGTTTCAATTTAAATAAGATGGCAAAGTTTGTTAATAATACTAATACAGTAATAATTGAAATAATACACAATTTTTAGCCTTCATGGGAAACACATTTTATTTTTTCCATTTTTGCTCACGTTTGTGGTGGCCTATTTTGTTTTCAACCAAATGTTGATGACATAAATGTTTATGCTCATAAAAGTATCACAGCAAAGATTGTCAATCACAAATGTAATTTAGATTAAAGTAAAAATATCTTCAAATAAAAAAAAGTCCATCATCTGTCATCACCTTTCAAATAAAAAAATATAATTAAACATTATAGATGTCTCTGGATGCTATCCTGATCTCCTGGGTCCTGGGCTGAGTTTGGGTTACTGATCAGGACCCTTTAGTGTTTACTCCAGTCTTCAGCATCCAAAATGGTCTTACCTTACAATCTGATTAATAATAAAAAGAATTGATGAATATACATGGAACCCTCTTTACTGGTTACACACATGTTCATGGACACACACATAGTAACATTTGACCTCTGCATTGGGGAGCACCTTGCTCACGGACTTGAACCAGCGATCATCTGGTTCCAAAGCCAAGTCTACAGACTCAGCTACCAGCAGAAAACAGTGGCTACAGTACGGGACTATACAGTTTAATGCTAAGATTCTTCTTACTTAGACCTTATTAAGCTGTTTGAACCTGCATTTATTAATATTCAGTATATCAAAATTCAATCAAATTACACTGTGTAATATCAAGGGGGCACCCCCACACACATGATCAGGGAGTCAACTTTAGAAAGACTCATTCCTATCTTTCTATTTATATTCTTCGTCCACAGAAAGTTTCAGGAGATGGAGAGTCCTCCGCCCCAAGCTCATCACACAGGGAAAAAGAAGAGCGGGGACTGTCCCTGTGTCCTGCTCTGAGCATTGTTACTATGGACACCAGAGCCCCGCCCCTCTACAACTTGTCCAAAGAAGAGAGAGAGAGTGTGTGTGTGTGCGTTTGTGCGTGCGTGCATGTTGGGAGAGAAGGGGGGGAGAGAGAGTTAAGGTGTGTCCTATTCTTACCAAATGATTTCATTTGCACTTTTGTCAAAAGCAAGTTCTATATCAGTGTAATCTTTTTGTAATGAGTGGATGTAAAGGGATCAGTAGCAGGTTAATTGTCAGTAGTATAGTTAGTTTGGTGGAGAAACAGGAAGTCAGTACTGTGTTTTAATTGTCACACATGCAGACCGCACACAGTAAGATTTAGACTGTACATTTAACTTCTCCTGTGTGAGTAGCAGTGGGCTGCAGAGGCCCGGGGTTGGGGGGCAGTGTGGTGGTTTGCTACCCAGCTCCCAAGCCAAGTCCCTACATACTGAGCAACTGCTGCTCCCCCAATGCTTGTAAAAAGAAAAAATCACATTCACAATATGTTGTAGAAATTACTGCTGTTAGGCAGTAGGAGAGTATAGCAGGGACATCATCATCACAGCTACAAAAACAACTATTCCAAGACGGTGTCTTCAGTGTTAAATAATTGACATGCCAATGTAATATTTCAACTTGCTCATGAAATGAAATCAAGGCCTGGCCAAGGCCAAGCCACAACACCCTTGAGCTGTCCGACCCTAAGCCTTCCTACAGGGAGCCACAGAGCCCCTCCACAGAACAGAAAGAGAGAGGAAGTGTAGCAGCAGCTCCAGCTTGTAGCTCTGTTTCCAGCTGCTGGGTTTGCACTATTGCCTTTATGCCTTAATTGTTCCCAATTGTGTTGCTATAACAATTCAGAATAGTGAAAACATCCTGAATGACAGATCCTGATCACTCAGGGTTCCTTTCGCCATATTGACCGGATTACTGCACATTATCCCGCTTATTACTAAGTTAATCAATGATTTGACCCAATATATTGAATTAAACCAGTTTTTATTTATATGGACAAATAAAATGTTGTTTCCACTTCTAGTCCATCTACTGCATAGCAACAGCTGGGAGTGCTTTGACAGCCACACTGATTTCTGTAACTGTCCTAGTCTGTTCAGTTTCTGTTCCACTAACAAGTCCTTAAACTCTTCAGAGCCCAAACTGTGGCCGTTTCTCAATCTCGAGGAAACTGGCTTCCAAGCCAATATTTCAAGGATGCTACGTCATCGAGTGCCGCTGAAGGCGGGGGGCGGAATGTAAAAGGCGGTGTCTAAAAACCCATTTAACAGGCGACGCGCGTTTCGTAACACCCGCCAAACTTCCTCCGCTTCCAGATGGGTACACGTCGGAGCTTTAATGGGGGTTTGGTTCCCTGCGCCGGAGCCGACCTTACAGGTCATAACGACTCTCTNAAAGCTTTAATCTGGATCAAATCTTCAAAATGGGTAGTTCAAACCGACAACACAGGATTGGGATCAGTTTGATCCCAAAAAACTGGATTATCCTGATCCCACCAGGGATCAGGATAATCCAGTTTTTTGGGATCAAACTGATCCCAATCCTGTGTTGTCGGTTTGAACTACCCATTTTGAAGATTTGATCCAGATTAAAGCTTTGATTGGATTTCCTGATCTGATCGGATATCAAAGTGATCCTAATCCTGTTTTTTGGTTTTGAACTCCCCAAGATCCAAATCTGATCTGATCAGATAGGGATTACAAGTTTTGAACTCCTGGGCCCTGTTGATTAGGATTGATTTGCTTTGGCCTTCTCCCAACGATTAATAGAACATGCCTAGTTTTGGACCAATACATCCCAAATAGCAATTGTCATTTTCTAAGTTCCAGTTAAATCACATCAGATCTTTTAAGACTATAACAATTATAATTTCTTCCCCTTCAGGTTTATGGATCCCGAACCAACAACATGTGCATCATGACCGGGATGATGCAGATGATCAGAGAGGGTGGTATGAAGTCATTGTGGCGAGGAAATGGTGTGAACATCATCAAAATCGCCCCGGAGACGGCCCTAAAGTTCATGGCGTATGAGCAGGTATGATGAGTGGCTTTACCTTTGCCTAAAATGAATAAATGATGATGCTTATGGTCCTGTATTAATGTGTTTTTCTTTCTCTATCGGCTTGTGCAGATAAAAAAATTGATCTGTAACGATAAGCAGACTCTGGGGATCTTGGATCGATTTGTTGCAGGGTCTCTGGCCGGAGTGCTCGCACAGAGCACTATCTACCCAATGGAGGTGATTACCAGCTTAATTACATCCACTCTAAAATAAAAAGCCAACTGGAAACTGTATATAGGAGTTCTCAAGACTTTATAATGAAACGGAACTGACTTTTTCTGTCCCTCAGGTCCTGAAAACCCGCCTTGCTCTGAGGAAGACCGGGCAGTACTCGAGTATCTCAGACTGTGCCAAGCAGATTTTCAGGAGAGAAGGACTCAGTGCTTTTTATAAAGGCTATATTCCCAACATGTTGGGCATCATCCCCTACGCAGGCATCGACCTGGCAGTGTACGAGGTGAGCAGTACTATAGGCACTCCTGCAGTGTTAGACCTGTGGGTCTGCTTCTATCCCTAAGAATGTTCATATCTTATCGGTAACCTCTTTAACGCATACCAAAGGACATTGTACTAAGAACATGCTAGTGTCTCTTCCTCATCTCTTTCTACTCCATCCTCAGACGCTGAAGAACAGATACCTGCAGCAGTACGGCACCAACAGCAGCGACCCCGGCGTGCTGGTCCTGCTGGCCTGTGGCACTGTGTCAAGCACCTGCGGTCAGCTCGCCAGTTACCCTCTGGCTCTGGTCCGCACCCGCATGCAAGCACAAGGTGAGGCTCCTGAAAGACTGCACCTTAGTCATAGCTTTGCTCATACCAAAAAGTATTGTGCAGATAAGAATGTAGAACAGATTCCTTTTTAAATGCGTAAACAATTATCTTAAGGAAGTATCAGCTTCTTAAAGGACTACACTTACTTTTATGTTTCTCAGGTAATGAAGATGGTTCAGATAATGTCCTCATTTCAAGATCTAAAATGATCACTATCTCCCATTTATTTATTCCTCACCATTTTGTTTCTTGCATTGTGTGTAACTATTTTCTTTTGTACCTTTTTTACAGCAGCAGTGGAGGGCAGCCAGCAGATGACCATGTCCGGTCTCTTCAGGCAGATCTTGCAGACCGAGGGCCCGACGGGGCTGTACAGGGGCCTCGCCCCCAACTTCCTCAAAGTCATCCCTGCCGTTAGCATTAGCTACGTGGTGTACGAGCATTTGAAGACACAGCTTGGGGTGAAATCCCGCTGAAGCTCACCCTCTCATCGTCAGGACACTTCTGAAGATTCCTGTGACAAGTGACCCTCACCCACTCTCCCTCCCATACCGCTCCTGCTAGGGGAACCCAGGGGCCTTTTGGTTCCTGTAGCGATCTCATTCTGTGAATGTCTGTCTGAATATGAAAGACGAGAAAGGACACTTAAGTTGAACAGGTGGAGGATATGGACTCTGTGAGCTCATGTTGTCGGTATTGTAAACTGCTGCTATTTTTATTTAATTTTTTTTAAATAACTTGAAATGAGAAAAATGATGGATGTGGGTGATCAGCTATTGGAGGACCAAATGCTTATATTCTCCCTGCAGTTTGGTGCCTGTGACAGCTTTTTTTCATAGTAGTGTGATTGCAAGCTCTGGGCCGTTCACCAGCATTTGTGTTATGCAACTCTGGGGGGGAAAAACTCCAATTACGAGTAACTTTAGATGGCAGATAGCATTAATAAGCAGTTTCATTATTCAACCATTCTGCCTATAGGAAGAAATGTGTTCTTGACCAAGAGAACTTTGCACACGTGAGTTTGATCTCTCCATCCCTCTCCCGAATGAATCAATGAATGGATGAGCAGATTTCCTGAATGCCAGTCTGCAATATTTATTGTTTTGAATGTCTAGGAAAGGAGGTACAATGCTGCGTGATCCTGGAGAGCCAAATGTACGACCTTTATAAATGCAGTGATTGTATTCAGGGTGAAAACTAACACCAGAGACAGCCTTAACATGCGCCTTTGAAACGCTAAACACACACACACACATTGTGGTGTGTGTGTGTTTAAACTGTTTCAGATTATGTCTGTTAACTTGTGTAGATGTTCTTACCCGTTTTCAAGGTATAAAGGTCTTAATGTTCACCTCAGGTTACGGGCAGATTATTGTTTAATTCACAGAAAAGCACACAAAGCCAATGTTTTTTTGTTTCACTACATGTTCACTAAGAAAAACCAGGGCTTTAAAAAAAGATGGGTGACATAATGCACTTTAATCGATGCTGGAAGGGCCTCTGAATGAATGTCATATCAATCCAGGTATTAAGATTTAATTATTCTTTTGTAAAGAATTCGTTTTAGTCTTGTTTTATTGGACAATTTTGATGCAAATAAATGCAAATTCTTGTAATACTGAGTCTGATGTCTTCATTTTTGTTGGTGCAGAATGATGTAGATTTAGGATTTGTATCACATTACTATTACAGTTTCACCTCAACAACAAGCTACGTTATTCCTGCATTCAGCAGCCACTCGTACAAGTTTAATATATTCATTTGAACACAATTTTTAAAACATTCTTTTAGGGATATAATACAAACATATATAATTTAATAAACCATATAATGTAGTAACTCGTCTAAGATATGAACTCGGAGAGGTTCCTTAATTTTACTAATATCCAGAGCTAGACGTATAACAATATAATTATTTTTGCAGATTTATTTGTTTATATCCGTAAAAAAAACGTTTGACTTCCTTCATTGCGCACGGTTCGCCTATATGTCCCACGCAGGCTACCGTACAAGATGCAACAACAGGATGGATAACATAGAACCAGAGATCAATAAAATATATAAAATGCTCGTATATTACGTTCACTAGATACATTATAACTCTATGGACTGCATAGTTATTTGTCTAACATGGTTAACATGGGATTTATGATGTATGTATTGGTCTTATTATAAAATAACTATGTTGTTCCTAAACAGGCTAGCTAGTTAGCACCAGCAGCGGTGCTAATGAAAGATATTTAAAATGGGGCAGAACATGTTCCGGACCGGGTTTCTGGTCCGGGCCACACACACCCTGCTCACCTGGGTCATTACCCTCATACTGTTCCTGCACAACACCGGTAAGTTCATTACATTTTAGACTAATACAACTTATCTGAAACTACTAGCATCGCGATTTACCACTAGGGCTTTTAACCCTCTGGTATCACTGTGGACGTTTTTGTCCATATGGGTCATTTTTCACTTTTCATTTTGCAATAACTTTGGTTGTGTTGGTGTAAATGGCCTGATTTTTTGTAACAAGGCTATTTTCTCGATCTATTTTGGAATTTCAATTTTTCAAATCAGTCTTTAATTCACTGTGTAACAAATCGACTGCGGTTTTTTTCACAACTTTTTGGGGTTCAATCTGTAAAGCAACTTCCGCCCTAATAGAAAATATCAAAAATGTAATCATTTTCAGAATTTTAACCCTTTAAATGCCATTTTGAATACTTGAAACCGCTGTTTTTTTTCATGATGAAAACAGAGAAAATTAGTTATTTTCCATATAATAAATGTTGGGGGGGTTGGCTTTTTTTTTTTATCACAGTCTTGGATATGTCAAAGATTAGCAACAACATTGATTTTGGTTGAATATTAGTTTTTGCACAAAATCAGATTAAACAAAAAACTCACACATTAGTCATTCGGGACAAAAATGTCCACTTCCAAAAACTGCTGTAAAATGACAACAGGTTAATATTTTTTAAAACTTTTTGGGGTTAAATCTTTCAATCAACTTCAGTCCTGATCAAAAATACCAAATGTTAACTTATGGTCAGGATTTTAACCCTTGAACTGCCAGTTTAAAAACATGCACAAAAAGGCAGTTATTTTCCATATAATGAATGTTGGGGGGGTCGGCTTTTTTTGTATCACAGTCTTGGATATGTCAGAGATTAGCAACAACATTGATTTTGGTGGATTATTAGTTTTTGCACAGAATCAGATTAAACAAAAACTCACACATTAGCCGCTCGTGTCCNACAGGATTGGGATCAGTTTGATCCCTAAAAACTGGATTACCCTGATCCCACCAGAGGGGTGGATTTCCAGTGGATTACCAGAGCAAAATGTACTGTACAATTTATTTTAAAATATGTTTCAATTTAAATAAGATGGCAAAGTTTGTTAACTGAAATAATACACAATTTTTAGCCTTCATGGGAAATACATTTTATTTTTTCCATTTTTGCTCACGTTTGTGGTGGCCTATTTTGTTTTCAACCAAATGTTGATGACATAAATGTTTATGCTCATAAAAGTATCACAGCAAAGATTGTCAATCACAAATGTAATTTAGATTAAAGTAAAAATATCTTCAACAAAAAAAAAGTCCTCATCTGTCATCACCTTTCAAATAAAAAAATATAATTAGACATTATAGATGTCTCTGCAATGTGGTCTCTTGTCTTCCTTGTATTATTTTTCATGTCCACTAGATGGCAATCGGTAGGATTAAAGCGCTGATATTCAGGATCTAGTCATCTTGAAAAATCGTAATCTGGATCAGGCTGATCCTATCCTGAATTGCTTTGAACTCCAGGGACAAAATCTGGCCGACTTGTCTGATCCTGGATCACAAAAAATGGGATTTCAAAATCGGATCAGATCTGATTGAGATTAAAAGTTTTGAACTCCTGGGCCCAGGGGCTCAAAGTCAATCTTCCATTAGTGACACACAACGGGGCCATTGACCCAGATCCTGAATCAGAAGTAGACCTTTATCCCATTGCTTTCGGCAAGGTGTACGTGGCCGAGTGTGTGATGACCGAATGTGCGCAGCCATTGGTCGCTGGTGTGTTCTGTCTCTGACGGTTAATCAGTGGATTGTGGAACCCTGCCCTCACAAACGGTGTGTCAACCATTAACTGGTTTATTGCGCTTGGGAAACTCAGTCTTTCGCAATTGGGTTTCTTATCAATTGGGACACTTATGAAATAAGCTTAATAATGGGCTCAAGGCCTTGATTTCATTTATCAAGTGATTTTCAAGTCTTTACATTTGGCCTGAGGGTTGTAGCGTGATGCACCTGCCAGCTAAATTACCAACAAGCTGCTGAGAATTCTCACGGCAAGATTTTCATAAGCTTCCCCACAAATTGTCTAGTTCTCAAGGCCTGGAAAATTGAAGAACACCTTCCCCAACTTCAGTTTTCTGATTAAATCAACATTTCTAGAATGAGATTTAACCTGGGATTAAGTTTAGTCTTACCTGCATCATGACTTTGAGTCGATCCAGTGGAGCGGTGAAGGTCCTTGAAACAGCTCCAGCTCCTCCGCCGGCGACCAGGTGCCGCCACCAAATCCCGGTCTGCTTCTCCTCCACAGTGAACTCATCGGGCACCATCAGGTTATCCCCCACGTCGAATATCTGTCAACAGAACATACATGAAGTATTAGGTACAGAGAAGATGAATGGCACCATTAATCCCCCACTGACTGCAGGCCACAGGACACATTTGTAGCTGCTTCATTTTTACAGATCGCACTGAAAGCTGCACATTTACTGTGCAAAACAAAACAGTGAAACCACACAGTTTCAATCTTTGTTGGCACCACACCATTCAACAGATCCTCATTCCACAATAATGTTCAACCTGTTTGCCTGTCATTGAGACACTGCAGGTGGAAGTCAAAATATATTGCTTGCAGTGGGTAATAAGGAACCCGCTGTACTGCTTTTGATGTACTGTACTGAGCTATAATGTTAATGAGGCTCCATAGGCAAAGGAGTAAAGTCCATAAGGCACAATTGGTTCGGATTAAACCTGCAGCTTTAGATATCTGGTCCTCTTCAACAAATACATTTGGTAAATTGTATCTTTGATTTATCAATCTGACTTAAATTATATTTGTAACTATATATTGCACATTTCAAATTAGAGGGCATCAACAGCCTCCCCATACTCAGCTGATGGGGAGCCTCACTGTCACACACGGTCACACTGGTTTTGCTGTGGGGATTATACAGGTGTCTCGTAAACCAATTTAATATCAGATTTATTTCGAGGGAAAGGACCCTAGCAGCTCATGTTTCATCTGTAAATCACAAGTCACTGCTTGGCCCCCAGGAGGGGTGACTCCCGCTCTATTCCTGGCCCTAGTTCAGCCTGTCAGTGTCTCCTCTGTGCAGGGTTGAGGCAGCTGGACTCATTAGACAGACCTGCCTTGAAATAACACTCAGGATCACGCTGCCCTTTAGCAGGAGCACTGCTATAGCACTTTCATCTCAACCTGCTCTCACTGACCGCTGCTCTGCGTTACATAACTGCAGACAAATCCTTTCGACATAATCCATTAGGAATGTAACCAATGCCTCTCAAAGCTTAATATGGCTTTATTGCTGACGCACGGTTTGTGGTGATAGAGCTTTAAGAGAATTAGCTCTTCAGTTGACTTCTTTCCAGACGGAAGGTGTAACACACTGCCCTTTGATTAGTTCCAGATACCATGATCGGACGCCCTGATAGCCTTACCGGAGAAGGATTTGTGAAAATAAGTCATCAAAAGATGCATGCATCACCCACGACAGATACAGAGAGCAGAAACGTCTGGTGCCTTCAGATATTCCCTGTCACAGCACAACTGTCTCTACCTGTGGTATTTTGGAGGCTAAATGTGTAACTGGTTGAACTTACCGTAGAGTGCTTCCAGTAGAGGATGATTTCAGGGATGTTCTCGGTTTTCTCCTCCACGGGGTAGTTGCTCCAGTCTTTACTGCCGATAGTTATCATTCCGTTCTTATCCGTGCTTTAAAAAATTAAAAATAATAATTTAGTCCCTTTATCCAACAATGAACAATTGCAGTGGATGAAACGGATGAATGAAATTACCTTTTAAGGGCTTTCTCCGCGTGCTGCGGGGAAATATGCACACCAAGGTCCTGGAGGGACTGCATGAACTCCTGAGGATCAACGTGGCCTAAAAAAGGGAACACAGACAAGTTGTAAGGAAAAGGTCTCGCACAATGTAAGTGAACTACTATCAAGGTGAAAGGTGACACCAAGCTAGCACGGCCACATTTGCAATGTCAGGCAGTGCCTCATACCTGTATTCTTGCTGGTGAGGCTTTTCACCAGTAGCTTTAGGTCTTTCTCGTAGTCCTGTAGATAGTGAACAAACTCTTCAAAGTCCAGCTGTCCACCTGAGTTACTTTCTTCCCTTTTTAAGGTTTTCTGTAAGGAAAAATATATGTGAACAACAGTGAGACATGGTACTTAACTTCGGATAAAATGACAGTGTTGGAGAGAGCGGGGGGGGGCGGGGGGGGGGGGGGGGCGGGGCGGGGGGGGGGTGCGGGGGGGTTAAGAATTAAATGTTTTATAAAAGGCAAAGGCGCAAACTAAGTGTGGTAGTACAATATTTTCACACAGGTCACATGTTCTGGAATGTACTGTCTGACTGCCAGTCCTGCATTCCTTACGACAAGGTGTCTGGCTTGTGGCTTGTTATGACCATGTTGGACAGAGCTATGGCCTTTTACTAAGCTGCAAAGTGTTCTGGAATGACGAATGACGTCCGTTTCCCAGGACCAGGTGGGGTGGGGGGGTAATTAGATAGTAAGATCTGGTCTATGTTTGACATCAACGACAGGCAGACAACTGTTGTAATCCAGCGCTAACCTGCTGAGCCTAAGACAAGATGAGGACACCAGCAGTCAAGTGCTGATATCTGACACTGCTTCTAACACACAGTGCAGGCATATGACTGTCACACTGTAACCACACTATGCAGGACATCCTGCTCTTTCCTGCAGATCACATTTTACTACCTGTACACATGCATACAGGTAAAATATGTATTGCCATTCCTCTGCTACATGTGGGGCCTTTTTCCCTAAAGTCTAATTCAGTCAAACACAAAGATTGCAGTTGAGTTTGCTGGAGGCAAATGTTGCTAAATGGTGTTGCCAGACCAAATAATGTGTTTACTGATTGTTTCTGTATTGCAAGCTGCACAACAATGTGAACTTCAGCTGAGCCCAAGAACTAAAACTTCTAACAATTTAGCAATAGGTCAACCACCAAATGAATGCTGATGGTGCATGAGTCAAAGCTCAGTGGAACCTTTCATCACAAAATCAAAGTGCCAGATTTGTAATTCATGTGCAAGTAACAAGAGTTTCTTAACCCTAAAAAGGAGCAATTTACAGCAGAACACAGTTTAATCAAGTATGTAGGGGAAAGTTGTAACCACCTATTTAATATATACTACCAATGTACTTTTTGGTCTCAGGGTGGATGTTTGGATAACATATATATATTTTCAATACAATATTAGAAATACACCTTTTTTTTTGCATTTTACAAATATTGAGTTCAGAAGTGCATAACCTGAATAGTTTGACTTACATTGCACACATGGCAATGGCAGCAAATACTGACTTTCCTTACCCTATGTCATAGCATTAGCATACATTCCTTTTTTAGGGTGGAATTTCACTGAAAATGTTTAGCCCGCGCCGGTTCAGTTCAGTATTAAAACATATGAATGTGAATTACATTGGATAGGCGAAAAGCAAGTTACCATAACACATATCTACGTTTAGCATTATATAAATAGTTGTTGCATTGTTTTTCGATAAGTTTTCCATTTGAAATGCTCTGTCGCAGCTCTTTTTGAAGCCGGTCAGCTATTGCGGCCTAGTCGTAAGGCTTTTCACAAACCCACGCTAATTCTTCCGGCGGCCGGAAATAAAGGTCTAGTCACGGTCATAGTAATAATATCTTAATAACTTGTTGATTGTAGAGCTACACAGACTGTGTGTTGAGATATGAAACGATATCAGGGACATTTTCCTCACCTTTCGCCATCTTTTGTAGGATGAAAATTCCTGTGAAGGCAGGAACACGCTCAGTTTGTTGAACAGAGACTTCAACTCCGACGGCAGTCCATTTGACTCAAAATATTCCACCTCAACTGGGTCTGAGTTGGAGAAGGGGACGTAAAGGCACAGGCCGAGCATCTTGGGTTCCGTAAATCTTAAAATACACTACAATAAATAAATAAATAGCTCAGCTCTGTCAGTTTCACTCCTCCACGGGGTAATACTGAAATGCCGGTAAAGAGGAAGCACCCTGCTTCTGAAGAATATCATCTATGCCACGCCTCTTCCCGGAATAGCTCTTCATCATTGGCTGTCCTGCGTCATAAAACGTAATTTTACTATTGACCAATCGCTGAGCCCGCCCATTGATGGGGATCGGCTCGGTCCCGCCTTATTCTTGTGCAGTGAACAATTGTCCAATCCAGTCCTTAGTGTCATTCAAACAGCTGCAGAAGCGGCCAGTTGGGCAAATTGGCGGTATATATGCCATGATCTCCCAACTACTGTTGAAATAATAAATATTCAGAATGTAAAAATACATTTGATTACACCCTACATTTACAAGACAGGGCCACAACATAAGTTAGTAATGGAGGGCCAACCTTTGTTTAGTATGTGTTTTAGTATTGCAAAAAAAAAGTACAATTAAGTAAAGTCCAGAGCCGCAGTGACGCGTCGTAAAACCCGGAAGTAAGTTAGCATTTTTAGCACTTCCGGTTCCTTCCTCAAAAAGCAATGCATTTTTTCCATAGGGTTTTGGAAAATAGCTCGAAATAAGGTCTGTGGTTGACACAAATTTAAGAGGTAATTGACTTTTTGTTCTACGACATTAAATACATCAGCAGTGACCCCACTGGGGATTTTTGAAGAGTTTACGTGTCTGAAAAACGATGGTTGTTACCGAGTGGCTGAATAGGACTACAGAAATTGTCGAGGCCGTTGTACGTCATTACGCCGAACACGTAAACACTCCCGCTAAGTTTGTTTTCCCCTGTGTTCTGCTTGAAAGCAAGTACATGCATATCTTTAGTATCTGTACATATATATCTGACCATTAGAATCTGTATTTTTGAAATTGTCTTTTTTAACACCGTAGTTTTACAAATTATAGAACAATTAATTACCAGCATTTTCCAATTTTACTCGGCAGTTCGTTTCGTTAGCTAACGTTAGCTAAAGCTAGCGCTACTAGTTAGCTACGCAATGGTTTGTTGCTTTGCTCCGGGTTGCAGCCACAGGTCTTCGCATGGAACGTGCTCGTTCTATCGTTTCCCGGCCAATGTTTCCCAAAGGAGAGTCTGGATTCGTGCTATGAGGTAAGCTGATGTTACATTTTTGTCCATGTCACGGTGAAATGTAAATGATGGGTAGTGACTGTATCGCCGTTTTAGAGATGGCGCTGCTGAAAAGACCGCAACATAAGTAAAGATAATGAATACATCCTATTAAAACCTGTGTGGCTTATAAGTCTAATTAGTACAAGCAGCATAACGTTTCACCATGTAACTAAAGATTGTAGTCAGGGAAATCAGTTTGACATNCCCACTGGGGATTTTTGAAGATTTTACGTGTCTGAAAAAACGATGGTTGTTACCGAATGGCTGAATAGGACTACAGAAATTGTCGAGGCCGTTGTACGTGACGTACAACGGCCTCGACAATTTCTGTAGTCCTATTCAGCCATTCGGTAACAACCATCGTTTTTTCAGACACGTAAAATCTTCAAAAATCCCCAGTGGGGTCACTGCTGATGTATTTAATGTCGTAGAACAAAACGTCAATTACCTCTTAAATTTGTGTCAACCACAGACCTTATTTCGAGCTATTTTCCAAAACCCTATGGAAAAAATGCATTGCTTTTTGAGGAAGGAACCGGAAGTGCTAAAAATGCTAACTTACTTCCGGGTTTTACGACGCGTCACTGCGGTTCTCTATAGGGGACCTCTTTAAAAGGAAAACGTTTTTTTTGTAAAATTTTAAAAAACAACATTAGTCAAGCTCTTTTGATATGATGTGATAGTGTTTGTGAGTACTTGCCGGTTCTCTGACCTTTTGTGAAGACTGCGTTGGTTATTAATTGTAATGGTTTTAGGGTTCAAACCCTGTAGGGAATGTAGGAAGTAGAAGCTGAACCTCGTTTCACGTACTCTCATGGAGAAGTATGGGCTTCTCTTTGACAGAAGGGGTTTTGTTTCCTTAGCCCGTATCTATTTTGTCTTGAAGAGGATCAGTGGTGCAGCAATGATATCCACTGTGCGTCCTCCACACAGTCCTTGAGCTGATTTGAGGAGGTTTCTCAGGAAAATGAGCCACAGTTTAATTTCACTCCCTTGAACACAAGAGGAATATAATGAGACACAAAGAGAGCATGATGATTTCTGCTAAAGCATTCTACTTGCACAGTGCCGTCCCAAATTACAAATCTTCCAAAAGTTAGCACTTCTACCTTTTTGAATGTCTTTCTACAACAAATCTGAAATCCATCAAATAGGTATTGGGGCTCAAAGTCAAGATTTATGAGGCTTTTGAAATTGTCAATCCGAGGCCAATTGGTGAATTTGGCTGGTGTCACCTGTTGTGTAATCTGCTGTGTAATGTTATGCAAGGTGAGCTGGCAGGGGATCAAGGGTAAACCGTGCTGTGATACTGTGAGTCTGGGCTCATCTGCGCCGGGGTGAATATTATTTGAAGCCTTTGTTTTGAATAAAGCAAGAAGACAAAAGCGATAATTATTGTTTTATGGTGGTGGTTATAGGCCATTGCCTGGGAGAATTCATGTGATTTATATATTTGTGTAATTTGCATGGAGAAAGTCTTTGTCTTCTAAATTGCTATAGTCAAGGTTTCTTTAATACTGCTGTGAATTATGACATTAGTAATGATATCTTTGTGCTATAAAGCAAAACAAAACGTTGTTTTTGCCGCTTTCGCAGCTGATAATGAACGGCACGGCAGCAGTCTGTGGTTCCAGCTTATGGTTGTTCCACTCTGGCAGACAGAAAAGCATGTGAATAATACCAGGGTAATTTCCCTGCCGCTGAGAGATGGAGCTTTACAAGCATCACAGAGTCTTGAGAGCTCTCTCACTGTGTCTCTCTGAGGTTTATTTCCTCCTGTCCACCTGCAGCTCTGTGTTTCATCCACAGGTCATGATCTTTGATACGTCTCTCACAAAGAACCTGCTATATGCTCCTGTCCTATCTTTTAGTAATATAAAAACCCTGGAGGTAAACCGTTTTTATACAGAATCAAAATGATGTGATATATTTTATTTCCACCAGAGAAAACACAAATTACACAAATACAAGAAAAAACATATTGTGCACATTTTCAGGTTCATAATTGTGTTTTTGTGCCTCTACTGTGACATGTTTACAGTGGCGAACCGTGTCTATCACAACTGGACTTTCTGCAGACACGCACACCCGCGCCGTCGTTATAATGTCCGTCTCTTCACTGAATTGTCGTCTTGAAAAGGGTACTCAGAACAATTCCGGAACAACATCATCTTTTTTTTTGTTGTTTTTTTTTGTTTTTGTTCTTGTTTTGTTTGTCGACCTGACTCATAATGTAAAGCGTCTTTGGGTCTAGAAAAGCGCTATATAAATCCCATTTATTATTATTATTATTATCTTCACCTGTTTTACTTGCCATTTCAGCGTTAAAAACAATAAAACGGAAAATGAATGAAATTCATCTGATCCTCTGTCTCGAGCCAGTGAAATAACGGGCCTTCTAGAGTACCCTGGAACTGAGGGAAACTCTGAAAGAATACGCCCATTTACTACAAATCAATATATGATTGGTTGATCAAACTGTCAATCCAAACGCACGCTCTCATTCAGTGCAACGGCCAGGGCCTTCGATCAAGGATGTAGAATACCTTGGTTGAAGGATATTCTACCCAGAGACCCAGAAACAGATCTGATTGATTGCTTTCTTTTCTAACACAAAACCACTGAAATGCGTAGTGCATGGTCCGAGAAGGACAAACAAATCAACGTAACACTGTTAAGATTACAGTCAAACACGGATACAATTCTCATTTATTATTTTACTATAATTTTATTTATATAATTAAATCGATTTTTTGTTTGTTTTATCTGAGTGTTCCAGGGTATTCTCTGAATACCTTGAAGGGCCTGACGGTTCGCCACTGGATTATACATGCTTCAACGTAATTCAGGGAATAATTGAGTGAATACACTTCTTAAACTAAATGAAAAACAGTGTGTCTTCAAGCTTTCTAAACAGATTTGAATAGCCTTGTAAAATGAAATGTTTTCCAAACATTTAACTTTTTTTTCTCCAGCTTTCCACTTAAAATTTTTCCTAAAGACAAATGTTACCCAAGCATAAAATGCATAGCCAATACAGTTATTTTATTCTATTTAAGTGCACTTTTTTACTTTGAAGAAAAGCTTCAAACCCGAGGCTGAAGATCAACCGGGACAAGCTAATACAAATACATTCAAATTCATTAAATCAGTGTCTCTGTGTTTATACAGGTACTTGGTCATCTATTCATCCTCACCTTGTATTTCTGCTTCAGGTGTGCAGTGCGGCCATGCTGAGGTAGCAGCAGCCTGCAGGTCAGGATGTCTGCTGAAGAAGAGGAGCGACTGAATGGGAGGAAGAGGGGGATGGAGGTCTGCTACATCACTGATGGAGACAATGACAACGACGGAGATGATGAAGATGAGTGGATACCTGGTGAGTCAGAATGGTAATTTATGACCAAATAATCGCTTTAACTAAGGTTGCAATTGAAAGATGTATGGAGTAATTTATGTTTGAAATAAGTGCTGATGAGCCTAGCAGAGATATGAGCACTCCAAATAACAATTGACACACTAAATGCCTAAATCTGAAATAATGTGAGCATTGATTATATCCATACAAGCCTACCAAACAAAGGTTTATGGGTAAAAAGACTTACGCTGTCAACTGACGAGGATAATAGGACACATCTAGGAAGCTTGCCACAGTTTGGCTTCAATTATAATTTCATTCTTTACTTGCAACACTAACTAAAGCTTCTAATATCTCATCTGCCTAAAATATTAAACTGCCTTTTAGAGACACTTACAGACCAGACAAGCTCTCCACATGAACCTTTTGATCTCCTCTAAACTCCCTCGTCTCCTCTCATTTCTTCTGTTGCCAGTTTGCGTTGCATAACGCAGTGAATCATCATTGTTGTGTTAGATGCTGAGTCGTCTGTGGGCCTCAGTGTGTGTGTGTGTGTGT